AAGAGAGAGAGAGAGCGAGAGAGCGAGAGAGCGAGAGAGACTGTGTGTGACAGCGTGGGTTTATCGGGGAGAAAAGAAGGTGGTAAATAGGAAAAACTCATGAGTGCGTGTGTGGATGTGAGGGCGGGGGGAGTGTTGCCGTTGTGACATTGTCCGTGTGGTGTCTCTTTTCAACCCCCTTCCTATATATTAACCCTATCATTTAATACGTATTTCTACCTTAGGTTTCTTTTTTGGGACACGTAACAAACGATCAGCCGGGTGGTAGGGAGGATGACTAGGGGTTCCACACCCCTGAAAGTGTATTTTATTGAACGTCTGTTCCATATTTTAAACATTTGGCTGAAGCGATTGAGGCAAAGTGACATTTGGTTTATTGAAAATGAAGTTAATAGTTAAAAAATAGTATCATTAAGCTGATCATTGAATGACAAGTAGAATTATTTACAACTTTTTTATTATCAAAGCCGATCGGTGATTGGGTTACTTTTTTCCCCAATATTTCAGATGTGTGACACTATCATATGAAGGTGATGACAAGAGGAGAAAATGCATTGTAGCAAAAGTTGGAATTCACTAATTATCCCATACGATAGAATCATATTTTTCCATACACACACCTGGTGCGTTTGATAACGAAAGTTTGATTATACAAGTCTTAAAATAGCCTGAACCGAGGGGTTATTCGTTATTCACTTTATTTACGTGCATTTGGGGAAAGAGCAGGCGACTCGGCGAAAAAGTGAAACCAAGAGAGCGCCTGGTCGACCAGATGTTTTAAATTGTACTGTGTATAGACTGCAGCAGGTAAAAGTAAATAAAAGAGACCTGTACGAAAAACAAAATCATCTATTGTACTTTATGAAGTAATTTTGCACTGATATATAATGAGATGTTATTGTATACATATATTTTTATGCACATATATATATATATATATATATATATATATATATGTACATTTGATTTAGCTAGTTCATCTACTGAATATTATATTTTGATGCAGAAAAATATGCTGTTAGATGTAGCTATTGTCATATGCGTGTTTTTCTCAGTCTTAAGGGAGATAGACTACATATTCTCCCCCCTTTTTTTTGTAGTTCATCAAAAGTGGGATGCAATATAATTCTCTTTGGTATGACAGCATTAATTTCCTTTTTATCACTACTTGATTTTTAGGTATCGATTCCACAAAGGATAAGTCGTCCCAAGGTTACAGAATGAAGAAATTATCAAGTATGAAGCAAATATAGTCTAACGTGTGTACTCAACACTGCTGCAGACTTTCCAAGCAAGGTAGATAAAATCTAGAACAGCGTGCGAGATGAGTGGAGGTCAAAGGTTGAGTTTCTTGGAGTGGAGAGGGTGCACACAAGCGACCAAGGTTCCTACTTTGAGTGATTCAGGAGGGGATCTTTTTTCTCTGCAACTTTTAGGATGAGTAATATCTAAAGGGGACTTTCCTCCACGATACTCTCACTGGGATTAGGTCCCTGGAGCGAGGGTGATGCGATTACATATCATCAGGGCAGAAGCAAACAGCACTGACGTGTGGATTCTATGAGGGAGAAATGATACCTTTTAAGGAATGGAAATACAGGCTGAGTACGTTTTTCCCCTCCTTTGTAGTGCCGCCCTGTGGTGAAGTGCTTTCACACAGGACGTAAATAAAATCACCATGCCACTGCGCTCTTATCGAACGCGGTTTTATGCTATGCCGGATGCTTGTGTAAGTTTGGTAGCCACCCTATTCAACTCTTTTAATAAGCAATGTGGTTATAGCGGCGCTTTGTAGTTTATGATTATGGGCGTGATGTTGTTCTCCCATAGCAAGTAATTTGTCAATATTTTTGATCTCATACACGAAACGTGTTCTATCTGCGTTAGAAGAAAAATCAAAAGTCCAGTTGCTTCGTTTGCGTCGATTGTTATGGGGATGAATGCATTCATACTAGTAATTTATTGATGTTTTTAAGCCTCGTAGTGTTATAATTCCCTCCTTTTCTTTCCTTTTTCTTTTTTGGTATTTTTGTTTGAATTACATGTGAGGATCGGCTTATACACAACCGCTTCTTTGCGTAGCTCTCTCTTTTATCCTGTGCTACCTTAGTCCTTTTCTTGCTGTTAGGTTCTTAATTAATCTTCTATACGCATATATTCAATTTGAGTTACTTGTTTATTTTTTCTATATTCTAATTTTTGGCTTGCGCAAATGCGTCATGCTGTGAATACATTGTTGAGTAACTCACTCGAAACGGAGAGTGATATCCACCAGGGCGAGGAGTGTGTTGTTTTTGACCTCCAAAATATCGGATCCATCACCGCATCAGACCTTTTGCTTAACCATGACAAGAAGAAGAGCGTTCATACGGGAGCCAACCATAGCTTTGGGCGGGCAAACTCCTTACAGTCGTTTCAGGGTAATTGGATAAACGATCACAGAGAAGGGAAACAGTTAGAGTTGGCGGAGATACCTACAACCACGACAGATTCCTCCCTTTCAAGGTCTGTGAGTACAACAGAAGACGACTGCACACACAAAGATAGACAACCATTTCTTAACGCAGCTACTTCAGCTGGATCTTCATGTGAAAAGGGTGTGTCTTCTTTATCAAATTTACCATTGTTTGTCCGAATGAACGATTCGATGATTAAAGCGAGTGAATCTGACATGATTCAAGGAATCACTTCCATTGTTGGCGAAAATGAAGCTTCTTCCGATGGTGGTCATGATGAAGTGTGCGACATGCGTAATATGCCATTATCATTGATTGTTGATGAGGTTAGCTCTCAGTCCATTGACGAGCCCTCGCAAACTACTTCAGGTGAGGACGCGAAAGAAACTATGGAGCAGCAGGAGGATAATGTTGAAGAGAGCCATGAGGTTCGTTCTCCGAATCCAACACCGAAATTTCTGTTTGTTGAGAGTTCGCATGACCAAAGCGGTGTCGCAGAGGAGCAGAAGATGAATACTGATAACGGGAATACGTCTTTAATCAGCCCTTTGAAGAGCCCATGCATCAAAAGCGGAAACCCCGCCACGAAAAGGGACGCGATAGCAGCGCATGTGAAGAGTAGGAGGGCCCATTTTGAGTTGCCGGTAATTCTGCGGTGCGCGGAGGAGAAGGGAAGAACACTTGAGCGGGCTCCCCCCAAATCTCAGTCCACATCCTCGGAGCCCGCCCTGAGCCCTTCTCATCTCGACGCATCGAGGGGTCATGCCCGGTTGATTGAGGGTTCCGAAGTTTCCGTCGCCACAACGCCGCCAGAATCGGGTCGCTCGATAACCCAGCTAAAGCCGGATCGATCTCGGTGTTTGAATGCCTTACATCAGCCCAAGGTGGCTCTCGTGTGGGCTCCCGATACAGCGGTGGAGACTTTACGGCCGTCGGGCGTCTTCCGCACCCCCCTTCCCCCTCTCTCCGTCGACCGAAGCCGCGGGAAACATAACCACACCCCTGTTGTAGGGAGCACTTCGTTCCTCGACGATGCACGGGATCGTTCTGAGTTCGCGAAGGCTTTATTTCACGACAAGGCGGCTAGTTCTGCGCGTTCGGGAGATACCTCGCGCAACGGGGATGCCTCTCCAGCCTCCAGGGAGTCGAGTGTGCGATCCAGGGATCCTCAGAAGGTGGGGGATCGGGAGTTGCAGGCCGGAGTGGATTCGGAATTCCCATCGACAGAAAAGGCGCCTTGGGCGGGTGCAAGTTCCACGACCGTGGAGAAATTTACGGACCCCGGTGGGAATAGCCCCACTACTCGTGGGAAAGCCATCCACGCGGCCCTGGAAGCGCTCCGAGCGATTCGCGACTCCCACTGTGGCCAGGGGGTCTGCGAGGCGGGTGACAGCTTAGATTCTTTTTCACTGCTGGAGAGGATAGAGGACTTCTTACACCGGCAGGAGGCGGTGAATTTCGCAGCGGAGATGGACGAATCGACCACGATTTATTGGGCCGGATCGCCTCTCGAGGTGGACAAAGCCTCTGAGCGTAGCATTTTAAAGGCGGAGGTGGTTCCAAACGTGGATGAATTTGACGAATTGACCTACTCCCAGGACGCCTACCCTCAGCTGAGGTTGAAATTTCACTACGGCAAGCCCACCGTCTTTGGTCGGACCACCCCGTTTTTCAAGGAGGGCGCCTTATACAAGATCCTCACGAGCAGCCAGGAGTATCACTTCTTCAATGATACCCTCGACAGCGTGATGCTGGTTCGTGCGGAGTGCGTGCTCTCCGGCGAGGAGCGTGTGAACGACCAGGCCGTGGTCACGCCGCTGGAGAACCGCAAGGAGGTGGAAATCGCCATCTCCGTTCTTCCCGAACAGACGGTGTTTCTCCTCAGCGTTGAGCAGGACGCGCCGCATTTGGTCGCAAAGGCGGTACCCGCTCCCGACTCCATCGTTGCCCCCTCCATGAAGACGTATTTGGATGCGGTGAGCGCGCAGATCAATCGGGTGCGGGAGCTATTAGGCCAATGGAACTGCATCACCAACCAGGAGGCCTACCTCAAGTGTTGTTTGAAGAATCAAATCGGCTTTGTCGATCTCGATTTCAAACCGGCGGCGGTGAGCCTGATTCGCCCGGGGGTGGATCTTCTCAAGCTGCCGCCGGTGATCTGGCAGCGGCCGAGCGGCTACGTCGCCCTTTCCGAGCTCGCTGAGGTGCGTCTTTTTCGCGGTGAAATCGCGCCGGATTTGGTTCGCCAAGGGGCTCTCCAGGATCACGCGGTGGTGGCCGCGATTGCCGCCATCGCGCAGCGCGCACGGCACGTCGTCTGGATGTTTCGCCACCCCGCCAGCGCGGAGCGGGGGAAGAAGGAGCGCGCGGTGGGCTGCTACCGCGTGATGCTGTTGCGCGACGGCTGGTGGGGGAGTCTTCTGCTGGATGACTACTTCCCGGCCTCCGCTCAGGGGCCGCTCTTCGCGCGCTGCCCGGTCGATCCACGGCGGATTTGGGTGGGAATGCTCGAAAAAGCTTACGCGAAGTCCATTGGGAGCTACGCCGCGATTTGCCAGGTGGACGTGATGGATGTTCTGTCGGATTTTACCGGCTTCCCGGCTCGTCCCATCACGTGGTTATGGCGAGCGGCGATGGTGAACCCCAACGGCGGACTCTCCGGGCAGCTCTTTGAGTTCCTCTCGCGATGCGTTTCCGACGGGCATTTCGTTCTCCTGCATACCCCTGGCGCGAACGAGGAGGAGGAGGAGGGGTGGCAGGAAGGGCGGGAAGGGAGGGGAGGCGGCACCACGCCGTTTCTGCCTGCGCACGTCTACTTTCTAACGGGGTGCGCGTTTTACGAGGAGCTCGCGCTGCGCGTCGTGCGGATCCGGAATGTTTGGCGGTACGAAACGACGCCCCACCCCACTGATGGCGGGATCCCGACGGCAGGAAAGTACACGAACTGGTGCGAGGAGTTTGACCTCCACGAAGCGGAGGCGCCTGCGGACGAAGGGGGGGTTTCTCCCCCTTCTTCCGAGGCGTCCGCGCCGGGCACGATCTTCTTGGAATGGGGAGAGGCCCTGCGTACGTTTAGCGGCGGCGGCGTCTGCTACGGTCTCTGGGACTTTTCGCAGTACCGCATCCGAAATCATTTCACCCCTCAGGGTTTTCCAGCCTTCGCGCTTGAGGTGAACACCGCTATTGCGATCGACATTTTTATGATGTTGACGATGGAGGGCGCCGCTCCGGAGGCGGTAAATGAGGACGGTGGCCTCCGAGCGGGCGATGCGGAGCCTCACGGCGTGGACGCTCTCGACGGGGTTTCGCTGGTGATCACCACGCGGAGCGAGGAAGAGGGCACGGATTCTGTGCTCTGCCGAGCGTGCAGCGAGTTGGGATGTGTTGTGGACTCCCCGGTGTTTGAAACTTCCTGTAACCTTTGTGTGAAGGCGAAGCTGGAACCCAAATATAACCCTTACTACATAGTTCCTCAATTAGATCCTGAAAAAAATACGGCACTGCGGAGAAGTAGTTCACCAGCTGAACAACTAAGATTTGTTTTGTCTATTTTTTCTAGCAGGCCGGTGCATCCTGGTGTGTTTGATATCAATTTTCAGGAGATCTTATCTTCATGTGAGGTCTTCTCAGCGGACCCACCGTCCAGTTTCCATGTCAACCCCAGCCGCGTGGTGAAGACGACATATCAGTGCCCCAGCGATCGTGGCGTGGACATCATGGAGCGAACATGTATTACACCTCAAGGCTATTAATTCTGGGAGGTGGACTGACGGGCATATCAAAGTGAAAAGCTCGTGTATCAATATCACACTTCGAATTTACCTTCTTTTTTTTTATTCGAACTCTTATTCATTCATAAATCCCAATCATAGGAATCTTTTTGTGTTTATACGTGATATGGCATGTCATTAGATTAATAGCATGATGGATATGTTTTTCAATCAGATATTTTTAGAGTTAAAAACTTAATTTCAGTATTGTTTTGCATTGTTGATTCTTTTTTAGGATCGATTGTATGCATTACGATTTATACTGTACATAAAGTAGGTGATCTAAGTTGAATGTCTTTACTTTTTTCTTTCCTTTATACTCTACCTCCTTCCGAGGTTGCTTAAATCGGAGCGAGGAACAAAACAAGAAGGATAGCGATATCGGGATGAGGGCTCAAAAGAGTCCAGCTACATGTTACCGTTACCTGCTTTTCCGAAATTTCATTTTAGAATATTATTCTGTGTTATATTTCTACACCCTGCTTCTGAGCGTCGGATTTCATTTTTTTGTTTGTGGTCAGAGCGTTCGCCGCACAACATGCAAATGATCGTTACGGTTGCTATCTACTTGGTGGAAGAATTATCCTGTTTTTTTTTCACCTCTGGAATTTAGTTAAATAAAGAATTTCAAATAAAGTGAATCTGGCATGGCAGACAATGAGTGCTATCATGTCCGCGCCACTTTTTCCCTCTCTGAGAAAGCAAGACGAGCTTCAACCTGTACGTGTACCAGCCCCCCTTTCCGGACTTGCTCCCTAGAAATCAGAACGATATGAGGCAAATGTGCAGCTTGAACGAATACCAGGATGTCGATAAAAGGTATTTGGCACCGCCCTACATCAATGATAAGGAATGAGACGCGTTTGAAGACCAAACCATCGACCTGAGTATTTTTGATTTACCAGAAAAGGATCGCAGGGTCGTAGAAGGTCAGACAATTCTCCATACCTTTGATGGGTCCTCCATTGAAGGGGAGACCACACCGGTTCTCGAGACTGGGATGCTCTACCGGGTGGTGACCCACGGCGGCTCCTGGTACTACTACAACGATACGGATAAGTATGAAATGCACATCAACTTCACATTTGGTGCGAAGTCGGACCTCGATTTCAGCGAACAGGCGAATATTTATGTGATGAACAACAACGAGTTCTCGGCCTCACTGGTTGTCCCCCCTGATGAGACATCTAAACTTCTCTCCGGTAAGGTGAGGGGCTTCAAATGCAGCGTCAAGGCGGACCGCCTTGAAGACGAAAAGCGTGAGAACTTTTACAGCAAGGTGAGCTCCCACATCAGCGAAGAAATAAACGGTATAATCAAGCGTATTAATGTATCCGAGAAAACGCTTGACAAGGAGCGTGTGCTGTTTTACTGCGAGGAGAATGCGCACCCCTACGTAGATTGCAACTTCCCCCCGACGACTACTCGCTCTACAGCGCGGATGTAGACAAGTACCCGGTTCACTTTATCCCATGGCACCGCGCCTCGAGGTGGATTCCGCAGGACCAGCTCAAGGAGGTTCGGCTATTTCGCAGGGAAATCTAACCCTCGCAGATGTCGAGCAGTTCGATTGGCGACCCTTCACCTCGATGGTGGTTATCCTTGAGGGGGTAGCGCCAACCGTGTGGGATCTCTTCCACACACATAGAACGCTCGTTGGAGAAAGATAGATTTTGCCCGGGGTGCCTACTCGTGATGACCAGCCTCAACGGCTAGTGGCTGTGGCAATGTGTGTGTGGCAATGTGTGTGTGGCAACGTGTGTGTGGCAATGTGTGTGTGGCAATGTGTGTGTGGCAATGTGTGTGTGGCAATGTGTGTGTGGCAATGTGTGTGTGGCAATGTGTGTGTGGCAACGTGTGTGTGGCAATGTGTGTGTGGCAATGTGTGTGTGGCAACGTGTGTGTGGCAATGTGTGTGTGGCAACGTGTGTGTGGCAACGTGTGTGTGGCAATGTGTGTGTGGCAACGTGTGTGTGGCAATGTGTGTGTGGCAATGTGTGTGTGGCAATGTGTGTGTGGCAATGTGTGTGTGACAACGACTGTCCCAATGTGGCTATGACAACATGGCGTGTGGCGATCCTCGAACCGACGCAAGTTTCCCCTTGATGCACCGTGTGTTCTTGGCCGATATCAGCCTGGGTGATCACTTCATCTTCTAGGAGACGATGAGCTATGCTAGGCGGTGAGCTACAGATGAGCTGCATGACGTCCGGTCTGTCGAGCCGTTGTGGTGCGGTCCGAGACCAGCGTAATCCTTGGAGGCCATCGAGGGTGGTCGGAATTGTTTACATTTTCCAGACTAGCTGCGGCCACTACCAGCGGCGTGGTTGGATTATCACATCCGGGTGCCTTCGCGGGTGGCATCATATGCGTTGTACTCGAGATCACTGTCGCAGACCCTACCACGGCGTAATCCATCTTAACACAGAAAGAGAAGCGTGGTGGTGCCCCCGTGGGGTACATCGCGCTGCCTTGCAGGTGTTCTGCTTCATCGGGCGAAAGAAGAAGCTAAATGTGATCATCGGACCGCTTGTGGAGAAGCTGGATCTTCAGTTTCGGTTCAGTTTCTCGTGGGGGTCGGGCCATGCTACACCTTCGTGCCAGAGCACAGCCCGTACTACGTCGTGCCCCGCATCCACGACACTTCTATCGCGCGCCCCTACGTCATCGGCTTTCTACTGGACACCTACGCTTGGAATCGGATTCGAGCCGGGTTAAAGCAGATGGATCGACATTGTAACGTGTTCAGCAATCTAGCCTCATTCAACCCCAGCAATATGTTCGAGGACGTTGTGGCGGGGTACCAGATTCGTAACCCTTGGCAGCCGTTGGAATGTGTGGGTACCCAGCTGAAGGACGAGCAGCTTCGCGAATTCAGCTTGTTTGAGGCGTAGCCTTCGGCGCGTTTTTGACTAGGAAGTAAAGATATAGAAGGGGAGTATGAAACATCTTGAAAGTTTGTGCTTGTGTTTTATGAATCTCTTCTTTTGGTTGCCATTGTGCCTGATACACCAAGTGATGTGCTCCGTGAGTTGAGTTCAAGCTTAGCCTTCTACCCTATAGGAATATCTGTGGCGTTTTCTTTTTTTGCATCCCCGGCTCTTGTCGGTGTTTCTTACACCTAAGCTCAGCTTATGTGATCTCATTGTGTGCTCTTTAAGTTTCATGCGATTTACTTTTCTAGCTGATGTAGAATCCATAAGAATATTACCAATAAACATATTGCAAGGTGGATAGCATTATACAATCGATTTTTGTGTGTAGTGGGGGTAATGCATTCGCCGAGCGAGAACGATGCCAGTTCAACGTCCACCTCTAGTCGATCGTCCTCTCGTCGGCGTAGCGCCTCGCATAAACGGCGGCGGGGGCGCCTGGTTTCGACTGCGCCTCCCGACCTCAAACGCTACGCCCCGCACGTTCCGGTTTTCCTCCAGCTCTCGCCGGCGGTGCCGGTGGTGTTGGAGCCCTTCCCGAACTCCCGCCCCACCGCGTGGTGCCTGGCGGCGGGTACCCTCGTCACCTGCCACTCCAATGGCCTCCGCCTTTACCAGGAGCAGCCTCTTCCTGATGAAACCCCTCCCTCGAACACCGTTGGCGAGGGGCTTCTGGCGCCGTCGTCGGGGATTTGGCAGCTGAAACAAAGCCGT